CTCGTCCAAACCAGCGTGAATGGCGGACGGTCGAGGAATAGAGCGGAGTAGCTTCTGTAGCGCTGCGGTATCAGACCCCCCGCTGGCCACCACGGATGTGACAGATGCGCTTCCAACACCGGTACCAGAGGAACTTGAGGGCCTGTATCCGCAATTTGCGCTTGTGATTGCTGCGCTGCGCACTTTCCCTATTCCGGGCTTTTCTGAGTTCAGCCTTTTTTCTTCGCTCATCCAAGTCGTCCCCTAGAATCTTGCTCACGCCTCCTCACATCGCTGCGGCTGCCGGCGACTGTGAAGGGAGAATAAAACGAGCCATAGGTTGCATCAAAAGCATTGGGGCCAGCGGAACCGGCTCTGACTGCCGTTCGACAGACGTATCCGCGATAGCATTCCCCATACCTTGGTCCACAGAGTTGCCCGATAGGATCGTACTCCCTGAACGGTCAAGCTTTGCGCTCACGCCGCCTCTCTCCGACCGCGCTTCCGCGGCTGGGTCATGGCCTGGGGCGTAGAGCCTTGGTGTTTGATGCAGAGAAGAGGGGAGGAGTGTGGCAGGAAGAGGTGGATGTGGCGGTTGCGACATGTACTGCAAGACCTCGGGAATCTGGGTCAATGTGACCGGGTCTGGCGGAAACTGCTGCTTTGGCGGGAATGGATACGATTCTGTCGTGACGGCGTGCGGTCCTGAATCGTGGGTCTGCGGGATCATAGGGTCCTTCTGCGATAAGAGCGGGGACGCGAGGAAGTCGGGCTCGCTGCTCTCTGACACCGGAGAGGAGTGCAATACGAGTACAGTGGATGGTGTGAGGGCAAGTGCGATGCAGCCGCAGGTGATAATATCCCGACAAACGCAAGATGTCTGTCGGACAGCAGTCATTGAAGATGATGACGTGAATTAGTTGAGGCATGTACTCGATTTTTGCCATAAACTTTTGTCTACGCATGCGAAGTAGAAAACTAGATGCCGTCAACCGGGTAGAAGAAGAATTCCCTCTAAGAAACGTCCACCAACGGTGGGCTGACAGAAGCACTCCCATACTCTTGAAATTAACTCGACGGTGACCACTCGCTTCTCCTCGTTTGCGCCGGCACCTCTCACGGCACTGACGCAAAGGTTCAACCACACGAGGGATGACGTGATAATAGAGCACAAATACGCGCTCCTCTCAGGGACAGCTCACGAGATCTACACAGACGACGTATGGCGGGGATACTGCCGAATGTGCAACTGCCAGATATACAGGCCGGTGGCGTGCACGTGCCCAGACCCCGGGCGCAGCGAGTGGCACCTGTGCTCCAAGCTGCACTTCATGCTGGACCCATCCACTTCCTTCTACAAATTTGCGAACATATTGTTGCTCATCTCGCGATATGAAGAAAGAGCCTTTTCGTAGCGCTCCTTTGCCACCTCAACAAACGGTGTTTTGGACTCATCCCCGACGGCCAACTTCTTCGCCCTTTCCAACGCAATTAATGAGGCCTCGACAATCGCAAACATCGAACTGTTTTCTTCCCACGAATCAATGCGAGCAGCCGCTGCATTCACTGGAGTTGAATTATTGGCCGCACTCGTCGCCGGGCCTGAAAGCGACGACACCACCTTTCCAATCGATTCCACGTGCTTCTCCATAATGTCTATCACATCTACACTGCTCCTCCTCTTCTTTCTAGAATCTGCTACAGCTCTGATACTATCATCTGGACCCCCACTGTCCCTTCCCCCGCTGTCGTAACATTGCCTATCTATTCCCCTAACTCCACACTCGTACCCCCCATCCAATATTGATTTCGACGTCATTTCCACAAAATAGGTGTCTTGGTGCGGCGTTCCCATCCTAGGAACAACAAACAAAATCAAAGCACGTTTAGAGGCAGCATATAAATTTTGACCATTTCGTGGGAGAAAATTAACAAAGCGCTCCGGGTCATTTTGACCAGAGCGCGACCACTTGCTCAACGCTGTCCTGAAAAGCGCTTTCGCGTCCCGAAAGTGGTCTTTCAACACATCAGCGCAGCGAAAACAGAGAGGAGATGCGCAGGGGTCAGCTTCATCGACGTGGCCTTGAAGAGAAAAGGGAAAACAAACCGAATCATCGTTAAACCTTTCTTCTATCTTCCCCCAAAAGCTGTCCCTCGTCTTACCCCCGTCCAATTCCGCCCTTCTCAATTCCTGACCTAACATAAAAAGCATGCTGCGCGCCACTTCATCGTCTCTCATCAAAACGGCCAACCGAGCAAATTCAGAAAGTGAAAAGTTTGGCTTAGGGCGTTCTGCTTCACATCCTTCTAGATCTTCTATGCATGCAACAGGATCCTTTCTATTTGCGTTATTAATCGGCCGGTCGTGCTTGTCGAATTTGTCCCCAATCTTGTACAAATACGCCTTTGCCGTCGAAAAGCAGGGTGTCTCTATCCAATCTTCTCCGCTTTCCGCAAAACTGTCCACAAAAGACCCCAAATCTTCACAGTTATGGTTTGATTCAAACTTCACGAGTACATCTGCTCCCTTCTTTTCGTAGTACCACAGCAGTATTAAGCAACGAAATATCAGCGCCAACTTGTTCCCTCCCAATTTTAAATTCCAGAAAGGGCACACTTCCCTTAACTTCCCTTTCTTTTGTTGGCAGAGATAAGTGTAGACTTTTGACATCTTTGTCACTTCTGCCGTTGGATCCCCCAATTCATGGTCGTCGTTAACTTTTCCCGTCGTGTCCTCCTCTTCCAGCGAGCCTGGGCTCGATGGAGGCGCCCCTCCACATTGACGATTCAAAGGATCAGTTTCTGATTCGGAAAGGGACAGCGGAATACGGCCCCCCGATACGCCTTCAGAAGGTGGAGGGGCGCCCGAAAATGGGAGGATGTGTGGTTTTGTTGTCGGAGCTAGTGAGGATGGCGTCGAGGGTTGCTTAGATATTCGTGTATTAATCTTCGCAATGCGCGGGGAGCGGTGCGAAGAATCTCGATCGGTGGCGACCATGGCAAAAGAGGGAGGTGGGAACAGATTGCGCGGGAAGGGGACTGCGGGAGGGGGAATGTTGGGGTGACGGGAACGGTTTTGCATTCCCTGTCAACCCACTGTTTGCTTGCACTACAAAACTTTTGGGCATGTGAAGCGCAAAGGAAATAGTCCGCCAAATCGTAAGATCGTAAGTGTGCAATCAGTCAAACCAGCCAATAGGACTTCGACAACTGTCCCAAAGGCGTAAGCTACACCAATGCCGCCTGTAAGAGGTAACTTCTTCGAAGTTAATAAATAATAAACTACCAGAACCAATCAAACCAGAGCAAGTGTTTTTTTTCGGGCAAGCACGGGCAAGCACGGGCAAACAAGCGCTTGTTAAGACACACCCTCAGCACCGTCTCACCTCGAAGGTATGCCGCACGCGCTCGAAAACCCCACAGTTTCATTCGCGCCCTGTCAAATCTCACCGCCCCCCTTCCGTCCCCCTCTCGCTCCTCCTCCACCAGAGCGGCGCCATGCGAAGCGTGCGGAGGAGGTGCGCCGTTCAAGCCTCTCGACGAACGAGCCCACACCAATCCTCGAATACTCCGACATCTTAGGGAGTACCACAGGAATGGGGCAAGGAGCCGACGCGAAATTATCGCAGGCGATGATTCTGATGAAGACATGATCACATCGGTCCCGCCATTTTTGGCCACGCGCAGGCGCCCATCAGATCGGTCCTCTCTAACACTCGTTTCCGCATCTTCTGTTGATCCTCGCTTCGTGAGGCTCGGTACGTACGCCTCTGTAGCGGGAGATAGAGAAATATTAGAGAAGGGCAAGCAAGAAGTGAACCGCTGTCACCATCGTATCCTACAAGCAAGCGCGGCCGTCGATAATCGCGCGATCGTCGAGTCGATCTGCATCGATTCTCGCCCGAGTCTTGGGGCCGTCGAGCCGACAGGGTCAGGCACGGGTGATATGTTCAGGCTGTCGATAAGAGCCGAACATAATTTTGCGTCGATATATGTGAAACTTGATTCTCAGGGGAGTGATGGATTACCGGAGACGTTTGAGTCTCGTCCAAAAGTGACAGTTCAACGGAGGGATAGGAACAAGCATGCGGGTGCGACAGCAGTGGGGCAGGGCGGAGTCGAGAAGACATGCCCTTTACGAACGATAGCGCACGACGTTGAGATTAAGGAGGAATTTAGGGGGAGGAGTGTACTTCATGTCGTTGGGGAGAGACGGAAACGTTGGACGGCTGATTGAAGAAGTGTTTGATTGTGGTAGCGTCCGGTGGCAACCAGAAGGCTGCAAAACTGCAAGAGCAGAGCGAGTTTGGAAGGGTGTTGGCGATAGTACAGGTATGGTTCTGCAGTCATGTGTGTCTGTTTATCATTAATGATATGTGGGTGGTGAATGATATAGAAGCGAAAATCCCGAAAAAGTTGTTTGTTCTAGCTGTCACTGCAGGGGCAGCCGGGAAAGGAGGAGCAGGCTGCAGTACTCCATGAGGGACAAGGAGCTGCGTCAGACTGGGGAGCGGGCTGCTTCCGAACCGAGGGAGAAGGTAGGAAAAGAAGCACTTGACATGGTTGTGCACGCGAGTGAAACAAATCGAGAGGAGTGGATGGAGCGAATTGGATGATGAGAGATGGAAGGAGGCCGTGAGTGAAATACTGGACATGTGTAGCGGGTTGCCGCTTGCCCCTAACGTGGCGGGAACGAGTGTGCGGGACATGAGAGAAGAATGGGACAAAGAAGTCAGACACGTGGGAGCGTACCTTTCGAGGATGAAGAGGTGTAACACGATTCGCAGGGAGAGTCTGAAGGACTATTTGTCGTTGCATAGGATATTGAATACATCACTAGATATCCTGGAGTTCGATGTGGGAAGCAGTGGGGGGACGGCTGGTGATTTTTCGTTTCGAAGAATACATCGGAGTCTGTGCGTTCCAGTTAACGTTCCGCACCGCCCACATCCCGCCCAACCCGCCCAACTCGTGCTGGAAACCGGATCGGGAGCGCAACACACCCGATGGAAAGTGTTGGATTAGTAGAGCTGCAGTATGTGAAGGGTTGTGGTAGGTTGCGGGTGCACGATCTGACGCACGATTTCGGGGGGCAAAAAGCGAGGAAGGAGGGTGGAGAAGAATGGTGTAAGAAGATGGCGGATGTATGCAGCGCAGGAGGAGGGCTGCTTGCAATGAGTGAGGGCCAATACGGAGAGGGCAAGAGCGCATAGGAGGAGCATGTTTTCGAGAACCTATATCGTGTTCTGAAATAGGGTGGGTGTGTAGAGAAGTTGAAGTGACTAGTGTTGAGTGCGCGATGGGTGAAGACGGTGATACGGAGAGGCGGGGTTTGGCAATACCAGGAAGCTGTGAAGGGACTGAGAAGAGACTTGAAGCGGAAATGAGGAAGCCGGAAGGTGAGAATGGGATGGGTAGACGACGCTACAGTGGATGCAATGGCTATGATGATGCCGGCTGCATGACTGAGTGCACCGCTTTGTAGTGAAGGCAGTGCCGGGATTTACTTTCAACTATACGGGCGAGTGACGCACAAGGCACGAGATTCAGATTATGTGCGAAAGATCCTGGAGGAAATGGACTGGAGAAAACCCGAGCGTGACGACAGCCAACTGCGCAACTTTCTGTGAGAGGAAGAGGTATGTTGTTGTCGGATACGAAGACGTGACGATAAGGCTGTGGAGTACATCGGAGAGGAAAGTATTTAGAAGTTTCTGCGGTCATAGGTCGGGAGTGGGTTGCGTTGCGTGAGTTGGGAAGGAAGACATGTGGTATTTAGAACTGGAGACAGGAGCGTGCGGGTGTAGGACGTGGAGATGGGAGCACAAGTCGCGGAGGCATTAGTTGGATACGAGCTATCCAAATCATCAGCGTGGCCATCACAGAACTTTGTCTCGATTTCGTCATGAGCGGCTTGGCGAACTGTGGCGCTGTCGGCATACTTTGGCATGTTGAAGAGAGAAGGGGTTGGAGTGAGGGAGGAGAGGAGGAAACGGTTGCAGGAGAGGAAGGCAATCTGCACGAACGCGACGATCAACAATGAAGGTTTTCGAGATATATGCACTTGGTTGTACTGGAACTACAGAGTAAAGTCTCGATAAGCTGCGTACCGGATAAGTTGAACTGTCTCGGTACCGTGAACCGAAGGACTATGAGGGAGGCGCCACCCCGCTTTTTTGGCCCAGAATCGACGTTTTTGTATTTCTAAGGTGAATCAGACTCTATAGAACGAACTACGCGATACCATGAACATAAAAAATATGAAAAACCCAGAGTTCACTTTATCGAGGCCGAAATGCGCATTAGAAACGAACCATCAACGAATACAGAAGCTATCAATACGTCCTTGCTTCAGATTCATACGTTGAAATCTCCGTACGCGGCTGAATGAAAAGAAAGGGAGGCTGAATCACAACGGGAAGAGCTCTGGATGTCCGATTGCGCCCGTCGACGTCGCCCGTCGATACACAGTGTCAGAGGAAGTGACGTTATGTGCCTTGCTGTACCTGTACAACGGCTACACGTGTACATGAGCAGTTCCGCCACTGTGAACTGGCCCGGTAAGGCGAACTCAGTAGGTTGCTCGGAAGCGCCACATTTCGGTTCACCATATCGAGACTTTACTCTGTAGCTTAAATTGCATTGGCATCTGAGCTGCAAGATGCGGAAATTCATATCCTCTACGAAAAAAACTGAATCCTGCGGATGAAAATAAATTATTTCATTGTTACCAGAAATTGCAGCACAGATTCGTGTTCTTGTTGACATTTCCCCTTCTAATGCTCTTAATTATGCTCTAAAACCCCTAATCCCCTTTGTCACTGCGGGTCATTGACAATCAGCAGGCACCAGCAGGCACTACTATGAAGGTTTTCGAGAGCGCGATACACAGTCAGGCCGTGTTCGGGCAGGACGGATCCTGGAGACGCAATCTCTTTGGGCTGAATATTGTGTTTGGAGAGGAAGACAATGTTGAAGAGGTTTACTACGCATCGGTGCCATATCAATCTTTTGGGTTCACCGAGAAGGATGAAGAACGCCTCATGCCCGATGACATGAGAGCGAGGCTTGACATGATCAACCTTGAGAAAATGAAGGAGAGCGCCGGGCGGCACATATCCAAGGACTTGTTTCCCGAATTTGATCGTGAGCGCTTTACTGAGGGTTCGTTGGAGCCCTCGGAGAGTGTGTTTCTCAAGAAAACGTCCCTGGTTGTTTCCGTCCCTGAACACATCGAGGAGTTGAAAACGGTGAAGGAAGACTATCTGGTGGAAGCTCGAGCTTGTGAGGTGCTGCGACAATCTCCCCATCCCAACATCGCGAAGTTTTTCGGTTGCCGTGTGCAAGGGAATCGAATCACTGGCTTCTTCTATGAGCGGTGCGTAGAGTTCATGGGGCCACGTCAACCAGTGAACGTCAAGAAGATCATAGAAGATATACGCAAGGGCATTAAGCACTTGCACAGCTTGGGCTACTGTCACAATGACATATGCCCCTTCAATATCTTGATAAAGAAAGACGGCACGGCTGCCATCATCGACTTCGACGCGTGTCGCCCTGTGGGTGAGACGTTGACGAAAATAGGAACGGACGGTTTCTTCGATGACGATGCAGCCGCAGCATCCAAAGTGGGCGCAGTCTCCGCTTTCGAGAACGACTGGTACGGGCTGAGGAAAACGGAGGAGTGGTTAATCGAGTGGAACAAGAAGGTAACTCGCAAGCAGATATGTGAGTAAAGCACGGAGCACGTTAGTCACAAAGGATCACTTATCGAGAGCCTCTAGTCCTATCTTAACTAGTTTGTAGACCTCAGCAAAACTACAACTTCAACACAATACGACGGAATTCATCCGGCAGCCATGCGCTGTAGGTTTCAAGTTCACATCTGAGGAAGAACCGGATCCATCCTGGACGCGTTCCTTGACTTCGCCAACCTTGGCGTCGACCTCTTGGCCCCGGAAAGGGCATTGTGCTCTACCGCACGGGGTTTTCAGCTTGTATGTGCGGATAATGGTACTTCTGCTTTGCCTTGTCGTGCGTCGGAGAACGCACCCACACGGCGGAGCCTCAAGTAGAAAAGGATTATCAATGAGAGGCATTTCGAATGAAGGTTTCCGAAGCGGGAGCAGGGGGATAAATGGGGAACTTCAAGACACGGAACCGGGAGAAGAGGGTCGGGACACAGGGATGAGGACGAGGATGGGAGGGAGGCTAGGGTCGCGACCGGGAACGGAAAGGGGTGCGGGACTAAACAGAGATGCAGAAACGAGCCACACGAGCAGTTGCGGAATGTCTCGGGCGTTCGGAATGGTCGAACGACATCGGAGAGTGGAACGAATGTGTGCTACGCGTTTTAATTGGCTGTTTCTATTTTTAATTCGGCCGTCGTCGTCCGCCTGTGCCGCACGGGCCGTGCGGCGCGCGAATGATCACAAGCGGCTCCTTGGAAAACTTCCTATCGCATGCGTCTCGTCGCGCTGAGGAGCTCGGTGTTGAGGAAGTCGGGCTGCGGCGTGCAAGCGTGGTTGTCTGAATTGCTGGTGTGTGCGTTGTACAGTACGCATCTTCAGTGCGCATGTAGCGATGCGTGATCTACCCAGGTTCATCAGACGGTGGCTTCCCCACCCCCCTCCGGTGGCTGATTCCCCTTCATTTATACCGATCTTCGGCACAGCCCAAGGGTCGCCGACGCGCCAAGCCACCATCAACATCTCCAATATCCTCATGTTTTGTATTCCACCAGCGAATCGAATCGGCACCGCGCCGACTGCTATCTTATCTACAACCTCCTTGTTGCCCTTGATGTCAACTTGGAACTTCGGCTTAGCTTCTCTTAATCGTTCCCGAGTAGTCGTCTGTTGCACTGTCTGATATTGCCATTGGAAGCATTTTCTTTTGACCTGGTCCTAGTAAGCTGTTAGTTTGGCTTTATATTTGCTAGTGCCTGATGAGGCGATGACTTCGATGGGGCTGTGTAAGTCGCCCTGAACGATTGTACTTCATCTTCTTGACTATTGAATACGTGAAAACCCCAATCTATAAACTATATACAATGACCCTCCCATGCAGTTGGACTCGGAGGTTGATCATATGAAACTTACGCTGTCAAGGATCACAGCATCCCGGTAGAGTATTTGCCGGTCACCGCGCAACACCAGGAGCGGGTATATGGGGAGGCAATACAAGAGGAGCTCGCCGCAGCGGTCGGCTGGGAAGCCCAGAACAAATGCGTCCCTTGGCCGGTGGCAGGAGGCTACGCTCCCGATGGCCACATCACTGAAGGCGAAGGTGGAAGCCTACAGGGCAACGAAAATGGAGTATCACATCTATTTGGATCGATGACGTTGCACGCGAATGTGATGAGGACGCAGGAGATGCAGGGTGAGCATGAGGGCACGCTGGGCGATAGATATGAAGACCAAGTGTGTTCACCAGCACTCCCATTGTCGATGAGCACGGAGAGCGACGAAGTGCTGGCGGCAATCGCTTGCGGGATGGAGGGTGCTTCGCACATGACGGATGCGCCATCTCCCCTACCGTCGGCGTCGGAGCCGATGGCAGCGGGGTTGCAGCGGTGTCTACAGAGCATCGCTGGACGAATTGCATCACAGGAACTGATGCTGCACCGCCTGAACGAGGTGCAGTTTCAACTACTCGCCGACGGGAACATTGGAGATGCGGAGTCACAGGCGCGCCGGGAGATTGCGGGGCTGAGGGACTACGGTCGTGATACGATAGAAGTGATGAGGGGGTTTGCTACAGCTCTGCTTGGCGGAAGGGAGTGAGACGTGGGACCAAGGTTGGAGGAAAAGGCTTTAGTTGTATGTAATGCGTGCTCATCGTGTGTTTGTCGTTCAGTAAATTTTTTTTGCGTGTTTCAAAGTGTGCGAAACGGGTGGTGTCGGTAGAGTTTGAAGCGAGAGTGCAGATGCGGCTGTCGCCGCGCTACAGTACGAGCGAGATGGAAGGGTTCGTTTCGACCTGAACAGGTGGCGTTCACGCCACCTGCATAGGGCATCGCGAATGGGACATGGGCAACCTATCATTCGTAAGGCATGTGTGCGGGCAGCGAGCGGGACGCTGTATCGAGGGACGAGGGAGAAAGGAAAGGGTGGAAGAGGGACGGACGTGGGAGAAGAGTGTCTGAAGAGTGTCTGAAGAGTGTCACGGGCGACTCATTGGCATGTTGGCTTGAATGTTTGAAGGTCATTGCAAGAGCGGATGCGAGATTTCAACGTCACAGGAGTGATGGAAAAACTTGGACAAAGACGAGAAGAACGATAGAACGATACTGGTACAGTTGCATACGGCCGATCATAAGGCCAAAAGCCTCCCAGTGCTCCGTACAGGAGGTTTCGACGGCTAGGTACAAAAAATCGCTGACGCGTCTCTCATCTTGTCAGACCTCGAATAATTGAACAACTGAAGGGGGTTGCCCTACATTTTGGACAACGCCAAAATAGCTCGGATATGCAAATTATTTGAAAACAACCGTATGGGGGAGGTGGGGGGGCGCAGCGGCCGCGAGGAAGGGCGCGGCTCTACAGCGCTGGGAGGGGCCAGCTGTGGACGCGGAGTCGTGCGGTGTGACGCACGCGTGTCGATGGCGCGAGCGCGTGCCATAGACTCACGGTGCAGCGGGCGTCACGGGGTGGGGCGCGACTCTACAGCGCTGGGAGGGGCCGGCTGTGGACGCGGAGTCGTGCGGTGTGACGCGCACGTGTAGACAGCACGAGCGCGAGTCATAGGCTCACGGCGCAACGGGCGTCACGGGGTGGGGCGCGAATTTTGCGTTTCCGTGGGAGAGGCGTCGGACACCAGCGACGGCGTCGGTCACCTTTATAATAATATTAAAAACGTCAATAAATGTTGCAGATTTCAATTGTATGTCGCCAATTTTTACAGCATACATCTACTTTACGGCGCGGGGGCGGGGGGGGGGAGAGAGAGGGGGACGCACACCGTCTTTCAGCCCACAAAAACTGTACGCATGTGATTTGGGACGTACCGTATATTTTCATAATCAATTTGAATCCAACACGTCACCCGCCGCCTGGAAACAAGATGACGACGTTGTGCTCTGTAGAGCATGACGTCATTGTTACTAGA